AAGGCATGACATTACTTGTAATCATACCTTGGGCATCCAGGACAACCAGAGCACTGCTGCTGCTCTGTGCTGAATTCCCCTAGAAGACTGAACACTGCCAAGTCAGGACTGGTACAAGACCATCTTGTTTGTGGGGCAGATGTGCTGAGAGACAGTGAAAGATTTTGACTAGTTTTGCTTTCACCATTGTCAAAGTAATAACAGTGGCAATAATAAATAATAACATCAGTCATGCTATGTTTCTTCCCACAAAATCTTAATTGCTGTTGATAGAAACAAAAGCTCAAAGAGATAGTTTCCATCATGTGAAAATGTTATCTGAAAGTTTGTTTCACCAATGTTATTCTCTTGTTATTTCACCATAAGGATAACAAGCTTAATGGCTATACTCAGAACTTGCAATAAGAAGCTAGTACTCCTGGCTCTCATTTCCAAGACAATGCCACAATCTATAACATTTCCTAAGAGCAAATATATAGACAGCATTCTAGCAAGATTTCCAGAAAAAAAAAAAAAAAAAAAAAAGCTCAGTAATTGAATTGCAAATTCCTGCCCTGCAATAATTCACTGACCCATAAAGCAAGTTATCTTTTCAGGTACAGACAGAAATGACACTGCTTTCCCTAGCCTGCATATATCCTTAGTGGATGCCACAACTTTCACAAATGGCTACCGAGGCAAAGCTGACCCAGATGTCACTTAATTACCAGCATTTGGAGTACTTAGGAGAGCAGGGAAGGAGACAATAACCTACAAGCCCTGAAGCAAAGGTGGGCATAGCAGTATCGAAGAGCAAACTGGCAAAGCAAGAGGGAAGGACAACTGGAGTTGGTCAGTTCTCTGACCTGACAAGTAGGAGCCAGAGGGCTAGGGAAGCAGAAAGCACTGCAGGAATTTCCGGTACGTGGGGAATATTCTCTTTTCCCTCCCAGGAGCCAAACTACAGCTGTAAAGGGCCCTTGCATGAACACAGACCCAATCTTCAGAAAGGTTTCAGAAGAGCACTAACAGGGATTGGTAGGGGTCTGTGGGGTGTGTAACAAGCACAAGCAAGAAGAGCCTGCAATACAATTACTTCCCTCCTACCTCTGGCTGGTCATGAAAATTGCAACCCCCCCCCCCAAAAAAAAAAACCAAACCAAATATATAGAGAAGAAAATTAAACAACAAGCAACAGATAACAGTCTCTCCCATGTACCTATGATTCAGAATGAACATCCCTGACATCCTACAACTAGTTTGCACTGAAGATTGTATTCTGCTTGTATAACAAGAAATCCAGGTTGCTGTTCTGACCTGAGGCAGTAGTTACACAAAACCCCTGTCCTGTTTCATTGGTTCTAAAATCCACGCTACACACCACAATTTCATAAATAACTACCACTACACTTCTTGCTCATTTTAAAATTAACTTACCTCCCCAATTCTGCTAGCAATATTGGCAAGTCCTCTGAGTACAGACAAGCCTTGAGGTTGCCACATGTGGCAAATTCACTTTATCAGTATAACGCCGCCCAATCCCACATAGAATTGGCTTTGTAAAACAAAACGAGCAAACATGGCTCTGCACCACAGTTTCCTGCTTTCTACATCTTCATCTGCTATCAGCAGAATCTGTCTCGGATGCCGTCACACAAAGAGTTTTACACTGCAGATCATGGATTTCAGGTTGAAGTTTTCAAGCTAGAAAGACACTGAAAACTAACTTTATACCATGAATGAACAACAAATGCAAATGAACAACACTGCAATGACACCTGCTACCTCCTCTTTTTCAAACATGTAACTGAGGAGCAAGGCAACTAGGAAGAGTACATAATTCTCCACTCATAGTTCTATTTCTCTGTCTGAAAAACTGGAAGAAAACAGAAAAAGATGACAACCAGATCCACTTTCATACATTTTTTATAATAAATTCAGCATCTGCACCTCTAACAGAAGTAGATATCTACAAAGGCTGACAGTTTTAGATATTAAAGAGGGTCCAAAGAATTTTCTCATGTTTAGACAAACCTCTCCCAGAAAACCTTCCAAGTGACCATAGCTGCAGTTTAACAGACAGTGAAAGCAGAAAGAGAAAGAAATTTCAAATACCTTTTCTGTTACACCTTGCATATTGACTTGCAGAGCATAAGAAAGGTATGACTCTCTGGCTTTTTGTGTCTGTATGTGTAAAATATATAAAATTCAAAGCAGCTGTTTTGTAGATTCAAAACCAGGAAGCAACTCTGATATAACTTCACAGTGAAAGTCCCCTGAAAAAAATAACTGCACATGTACTGCATATGTATCATTGCTACCTCCCTTTCCGCTCTCATACCTCCATCTTCAGACAGCTCCTCTTTAAATCCTAATTTGCATTTATGCCATGAAGTTTAAAACCACTTTTGCTTAAGCAACTCCAAAAGTCTTTTCCACATTCACCTAGTACTCCCTTGAAAAATTTTTTATTATCTTAAAACTTTGCATTAATGTCTTTTCCTAAACATTTCAATATATTGAATTTCCCCAATCTTTCAATTTCTGGTTTGTACATCTTTTCTTACAAACAATTTTCTCTTCAAATTGTACTTCCAGAATCTGTGCACAAACACTAACAGAGACCACTCAGGACTCTTTGCTGTGTTAATTCAGTAGTTTTAATTCAGCCCAAACATTGAATTTTTGCAAAGCCCAGTTTCTTTGGAATATCATCATGAATTTATTCAAAAGAAAATCAGACCACAGGAAGGAAAAGGTCTTTTTTCCACAGGAAATTATTCCTCTACTTGAATGCAGAATGCAAAGTACCTCAAAAATTTCATGAGTGATTTTTACCTCTGAATAACTTTCTTATTAACTAACTACTCTCACAACCAATTCTGATAAGCAACGGGATTTTGGATTTGCATTCAACTCCAGGGCTCATTTGTATCATCCCTTTTTGCCTGCCTCTCAGTTACCTAGCTGACACAACAGCATAGCAATGAGGCACGAACTGATTGCTGGTGAGCTCAACTCTGTATGCACTTGTTACAATATTTTCAGTAACTGAAAGTTTACAATTCCTTAGAACCTTAGTGGACAGAATGGCAACACTCAACAAGCTTTCTAATGGAACTATTGTTACATTTTAACTATAGCTCTCCAGATACAAGAAGGAGATTTATGAAAGAAAAACTGAAGAAAAATAGAGATTTTCATTCAAGATATTCACAAAATAACTACACTCTAAAGAAGTTTGTATCTTCCTCTCCACGTTATCCAATTTAGAGAGGGAATGAAAAAGAGACATGATTTCGTGTTCAAGCTGAAAATGAGGAAGTATTTAATGCATGCTTTAGTTCTTTAGAAAGCAGTCCTGGATGCTGATTTAATTTAAAGAAAAAAAAAAAAAGGGGGGGTGGGGAGCAGGAGGAGTAAGAAGCACAGAGCCTGTAGTGATATTTTATAAGAACACAAAATCAAAATCATTTATTGTTGGTTTAGAACTTTCTACTGAGAAAAAGCTATTTATTTTTCAATTATGTGTCAGGATGCCACAGTTTGTAGCAATTTTGGAAAGCAGAAGCCTTAAAAATTAGGTACAAAGGCAGAGAGAACTTACAAATCTTCATACTGAGATTATGATATTTTCATAACAGAAATTCATAGGCTGCATTTATTTAGCACACTAAATCCAACACCTCCTAGAATCAGCAGCAATTTAAAATACCAGCCGTAACAGAGCCTAGAGGAAGTCTGCTTTTGTCCCATAGAACTTCACAGCTCATTAGTTCAAGAAGAAAAATATTACCAATATACAAGGAGTCCCAAAATAGTTTCTTCCCTCTACCCCAAACTGTGGATTTTCAAAGGTTAAGAAGAAACAGAGTATCCATTTTCATCCTCTGCTTCCTTTCATCTCACTGAGGCTGTTACTTCCTCCTAATCATCACTGCCTGACAAAAACAGCTGTTTCTTGCACTTGGCAATGACAAGAACAAGGATTAGGATGGGAGTACATTTGTCCCCCCAGGAACACTTGAGGCTCCTGTGTCCCCAACCCAATTACGGGCTCAGCAAGTTTGCCACCAAACCACTTCACCAAATCACTTTCACATATGCAGTGCTATTGAAGCAAAATGAAATTACTTTGTTGTGTGCATATGTCTAAACACACAAGCTCACACAGAAGGAAAAAAGGGGGGGGAGAGAGAAGGAAAAAAGATATATATCCTTGGAAAGGTTAAAGTCCCAAAGATTCTCTGAAACTGTAGTAACAGATTAACACAAAACCTATTTATGTAATTTATTGTACTTCTTGCTCTCTTTTACATAGTGGAGAGCCAAGTTTATGGAGGATTATAGAATCTAACAGCCTAGGTCTGCAATGACAAATCAAGGAGGCCCAGAAGTACTAATAGCTAGTCTCATATGTGCAGTCATATGCATGTACATACACAGGAGCCCAGTAAAAATGATACAGATTTCTAAAACTCGGAATGGCTTTCCTAAAACCAGTACTGCTGCAAGTTATTTGGTACATTACATGGAATACAAAGTAATGACTTTTTTTTTTCTTTTTTTTTTTTTTTAAGTCTTTGTAGGCAATTGTTTGGAAAAATCCACTTTATTCTCAACTAGCTTAGCCCGGACTAAGTATTTACAAAAAGCTTCTATAAAACATAAGAAAGCACTCTAGAGAAGAAATTACAGAGAAGCAGCTACAAAGAAAGTATTGCAAATGCCAAGATATATAAGTTATTCTAGAATAATCACTTTGTTCCCAGAACACACAAACATAATCACTGAAAAGAACAGAAATGTAAGATTAGCTTTATTTTCAGGATATCAAAACTACATTGCCTTTGCAAAGAAAGTTATTTTTCTTTGCAGCATAGCCTTAGCTGAACATTGCATTGCAATGTATTATGGGTTTGGATATAAGAAATATGATATAAAGGCTGATATTTAGACTGAACAGCAGAGTACACAAAATGTAGACACACAACACAAGAACAGTTCCACTTTGTACTCACTCTTACAAAGTTGTCAGGGAACAAACCTCTTCTGCCTTTGAGCTGTCCTTCCCACCAGCCTCCATCATCTTTCTTGATGTTGGTGATTATGTCACCTACAGTGATCGTCAGCTCATCATCATGCTGAGCTTTGTAGTCAAACTCCACTATCGCCTCCACTAAAAAAGAAACACACATACACATAATTATTGACTACTTTTAAGTTTCCACGGCTTTAAAAGTAATAAGAAAACACCAACCCCGTTATATATTCTCAGTGAAAATAATATATTCAGCTTAACCAAGACAGCGTATAAAATAGGCAACATGTAATGGTAACATTTTGAGAGACCAAAGAAAAAAACACATAGGAATGCCCATCATGCTTAAGGCAACAAATTGCACACATTTTTCTTTACTGCTTATAGGAAATCAGTTTGTGATGCTTCAGCAGTATCTCTGGCAGCATTACAAAGTTTATTTTTATTTATTGACAACATTTTAGCATTTGTTCAAGGGACTTCTAAAGCACTTTATTTCTGGAAAGGTTCTCAAATTCATAAGCATCCCAAGCTTTACCTACTTTGCTAAATACATCACTAAAGAGTGTTTAACAAGAATTCTTCACAACATGCTGAGTTTCACTGTTGTTTATTCACAAATGCAAACCTTTGCTGCATGAACATGCTCTCACCAAAGGGAGACAAATTTACTTTCACTTATGATTATACATCAGAGGATCTGAAGATTAAATACTTCTACTGCTCTGAATGTCTGTTATCAGATAGAGGTGCATTACAATCTTGCTACCATTATCTTTGTCTTTTCCTGGGAGGACTCCTCATCCCTTGAAACCAAAATCACAACAAAGTCTCTGGAGAGAATTAAGGAAGTCATAAAGACAGAAATATTCCTTTACAGAACCAAAAATAATAGACCAGGGGTATTCAAATATGGAAGCAAAAGCTACATTTAGTGGCTCATCAATTATCTGCTAAGGAGGAGCCAGATTAGCAAGGCCAAGGCTAGCCATATTTGTAAAGCCTTACTCCTTTTTCTTCAGTGGAAAACCATGCCCAAGATGTTCCACCAAACATTTCGCACTTCAACCACCAAAACAGAAAAATGAGGGCTTTCTGCACAAATGACTGTGCTATGTAAACCCTGCGAAATCTGGGCTGCAAACAGGCAATACAACTCACAAAACAAAGCTAACCATTACACCACACACACCAGAAAGTTCTGCCTAATAACAAGCCCTGCAGACTAAATTGAATTAAGCTGACAGGAAAACAGTTATTCCTCTCCACCCCAAAAATGTCACACAGTCATGATGCTGAACATCTCCCTCCCTCCTCCAGAGCCTGCAAGGCACAGCTAAAAGTGTTCTAACTTTCGGATACATCTCAGACACAGGACTATGGCTGGTAATGTTAAGCAATTGTTGATCTTCTCTGAAGTCCAAAATGTAATAAAACCAGCCCACAATAGGCCTGCTGAACTACATTGTGAACAGCAAGAGTGGCACCACACATAACAAGCTGACATGCAAACAGAGCTTGATAAATTTACCACTGAAACTAACTGAAAAATCAGTCACTTAGGCTGGAAGGGACCTGAGGACTCTAGTTTAGCCTCCTGTCTAAAGCAGGACCAGCTCTGAGGTCAAACCAGGTTGCTCAGGGGTCTGTCCACATGGGTCTTGAAAACCTCCAAGGATATAGGTAGGGTACACAGGGCAACCTATTCCACTGCTTGAGAGGGAAAAAAAAGTTTTATCTCTCAGAGTACATTGGAACATTTCTTGTTCCAATTTACACACATCAGTCTTGTTATCTCACCATGCACTGCTATGAGGAGCCTGACACCACTTCCTTGCAGGTAGCGTAAGGCTATTAGGACCTCCTGCTTTTTCTTCTCCAAGCCAGACAAGTGGAGTTCCCCTAGCCTCAGGTCCCCCCATTATTTAGCACTTGAACTGTTCCACCAATTTGATATCAACCGCAGACCTGAAGACAGTGCACTTGACTGTATCCTCCAGTAATTGATAAAGATGTTAAGCAGAAAGGTCCAAGGACAGCCCCTGGTGGTACTCCATTAATTAACAGCTTGCAAGCAGAGTGCTACTCAAACACCACAACATTTGAAGTTGGAAAGCACCTCTGTAGATCAAAACCTATTATTAAAAGAAGAGAGCTAAGGTATAGATTGCTCAGGGCATTGTGCAACCAGGTTTTGACATCACGAAGGATAGCAAGTGCAGTATTTGATCACTGTTAAGATTAAAAAACTTTCCTTAAATGAATTTTCCTGTATTTCAACTCATGGTGATTTCCTCTCCCCCTTTCAGTATCTATTGCCAAGAGGAATCTGGCTTCACTTTCTTTACCACAACACGTATCCAGAAACATCAATAACATCACCCTGAGCATTCTCTTCTCCAGCTAAAGCAGGCCCATCTCCCTCTGATTCTCCTCAAGATCTCGGATGTCCCAATCTCCCAGCCACCTTCATGGCCCTTCACTGGACTTGCTCCGGTATCTCCATCTCTCTCGCATACAGGAGAACCCAGAATTGGACACAGCGCTCCAGATGTGCCTCACAAGCAAGAAGAGAAGGACGACTTCCTTCCACCTGCTCGAAATCCTCTGCCCACAAAACTACGAGATGCCTTTGACACAAGTGCATATTATTGCCTCACGCTCTACTTGGGGTCCACCTGGATCCCTGTGTCCTTCTCTCCAAAGCTGCTTTCCAGCCACTCAGCCCCAGCCTGTACTGGTGCCTGGGATTATTCCCCTCCAGGTGCAGCACTTGGCATTTCCCTTTGTTCAGAAGGATCCCGTCAGCCCACTTCTCCAGCCTGTGGAGACCTCTATCAATGGCACTGCAGCCCTCTGGGCAGTCAAACTTCTCAGTTCTGCACCATCTGCCAGCTTGCTGAGGGTGCAGCACTCTGCCCCAGCATCCAGGTCATTAGTGAAGATGCTGAGCAGCATCAGCCCCATCATCCACCCCTGCTGCACACGGTCAGGGACCGGCCTTCCACTGGACCTCATACCAGTGATCACAGCCCTTTGAGCCTGGCACTTCAGCCAGTTTTCCACCCACCTCACTGTCCATTTACTTGGGCTGCAGTTTATCAGTTTGTCAATGAGCATGATACAGGAGACAGGGTCAAATGCTTTGCTGAAACCAACATAAACAGCATCCACTGCCCTGTGCTCCTTCACCACATCAGTGATCTATCTCATGGTGGAAGGCTAAGAGATTGGTCAGACATGACTACTCCTTCATAAACCTATGCTGACTACTCCCAACCAGCTTCTTGTCCTTCTTATTTGTACAAATGGCCTCCAGGATTATTTGGTCCTTGCAAGGGATCAACCTGAGGCTGACCAGCCTGTAGCTCTCACCAAAACAATCAAAGATTTACATTTGCTTTATTCCTGTCTTGAGGAACTTCTCCCAGTCACAATGACCCCTCAAAGACATCAAGAGTGACCTCTCGATATCAGTTAGCTCCCTCAACACATACCCTACCTGGGCCATGGCCTTGCACATGTCCAGTTTGTTTAAATATTCCCTAACTTGATTGCTCTTCACTGAGGGTAGATCTAACCTTGTCCTGGACTTTCCCACTGATTTCACGGGCCTGGGATTGCTGCAGACCAGTATTATTATTAAAGACTGAGGCAAGTAAGGTATGAAGTACCCCTGTGACAAGGCCCTCATCCCCATTTAGCAGCAGGCCCACACTTTTTCTAATCTTCCTCTGGCTGCTCATGTACCCATAGAAGCCTTTCTTATGGTCTTTCACATCTGTACTTGTTTTGACTTGATTAGAGATGATTTTCTTCACAGCAGCTCATTTGATGCTATGTTTTGGATTTATGACCAAAACAGTGTTGATAACACAGATGTTTTAGCTATTGTTGAAGGGTGTTTACACAGCCTGAAGGCCTTCCTACTGCCCTGAAAGCAAGTAGGTTGGGAGTGTACTAGAAGCTGGGAGAGGACACAGCTGGGACAGCTGACCCCAACTGATTAAAGGGATATTCCAGACCATACAATGTTGTGTTCAACAATAAATGCTGGGAGGGGAAGAAGGAGGAAGAGGGTACATTTGGAGTTACGGCATTTGTCTTCTCAAGCCACCATAACGTTTACTGAGCCCTGCTTTTCCTGGCTTCATTCTATAAAGAATTAATTCCTTATTTTGCTTTGCCTACACATGCAGCACTTGCCTTACCTGTTAAACTGTCTTTGTCTCAACCCACGAGTTTTCTCACATTTACCCTTTCATTTTACTTCCCCTCCCTCTGTGGGGGACTGAGCGAGCAGCTGTCTGGGGCTGAGCTGCCCACAGTAACATCCCTCACCACATTCAACTCCAGGTGGGCTTTGGCTTTCCTAACCCCATCCCTACACACGCAGACATTCTCTCTAACTTTGTCCCAAGTTAATTCTCCCTTCTTTCATCTCCTGTACTCTTTCTGGTTTATTTTTTTCAGCAGCTCCTTGTTCATCCATGAAGGCATCCTACTACCTCTGTTTTCCTGCTTGTCAGGACAGAACAATATTGAGCTTGGAGCAGAGTATCTCTGAAAACCAAACAGCTCACTCTTCTCCACAACTGTCTCCAGTGTGGTTCTTCCAAGCAGAGCCTTAAACAGGCCAAAATATTTCCTCTTCAAGTCCAGGGTTACAATCCTGCTTTTTGCTTCCCTCCCCCATCCTGCTATGGATCCCAAAATTTGCCATCTCATGGTCAGAGCAGCTAAGGCTGCCCTCAGCCTTCAAGTCCCCAGACAATTCCTCTTGGTTTGCAAATATGAGATCCAGCAGTCAACACAGTCCATAAACAACATGGATTGACACATCCAGGCCATAAGCAAACTATTCTACCCTTCAAGATATCAGGGTGGTTGAAAACCTCCATGAGGGCCAGGTCCTGCTAACATGAGCCTTATTCCAGTTGTCTTAAGAAGGCCTCATCAACTAGTTCTTTCTAATGAGGTGATTTTTCAGTATACCCACCACAACATTGTCCATGTTGGTCTGCCTTCTCACCCTAACCCACAGACTCTCAGGTGGCTCATCATCTGTCCCACAGGACTTCAGCTGGTCTGCTGCATAAAAAGCAACTCCCTTTCCTAGCCCATCCTTCCCATATAAC